GATCTTGCGCAAGAGCCTCGCAGTTACTTTTCGGCTTATTCCCATAGAGATATTACTGTATTTTTTTTAGATAGGAGAAACTTAACTGAGCACAAATGAAAAATTAGAGGAGTTAAACGCAAACGTATATTAGTTATACCAATTATTAACATATAGTAACTAAGATTGTCAAGTATTAGTAACTATTTTGCCTTAATTTTTATTTTAAAAAATCTATTTTTTTAACCAATCCTGCTCTTGGTCTTGCAACAGTTAGGTGGTGGCATTGGTCTTGGTCTTGTAAAGTGCAAGACCACGACCAATTTTGGGCAACACTAATCACCATCCGCCTTTCGTTACAAATTGATATTGTATCGCCATAACAAAATCGGCTTTAACGATTTTATAAAAACTTGCCTAAAGTCTTTTCGTATAAATATGTATACAACACACTTTCCTGAAATCAAGCTGGAAAAAAGCTACGACTACTGCAGAATTTCATTTACAAATTACTCATTATTTATAATGTCTAAAATATATATATATCTTGCTCTACCAGAGCTGTTACATTAGTCCTGTTAATTCAGCTATCTTAATTTGTTTGGCGAGAAAGTAAAGTCGGCATTAAATAGATATCACATATTAGTTGGTTAAAAGTAGATAAATTAACTCAAAATTAATTTAGCTCCCAACGCACTCAAGATAAATTAGGTGTCCTGAGTCCATTGCTAGGTTGTTGTATTTTTCTATATAAAGTTACCAATAGTTTACGAGGATGATAACCGCTAAGCATTAGTCGATAATCCCTAACTATCGTAACCTTAATTGAGAACAATAATCATTGTTTACATTGATAGCGATTAATATAGATAAAACTATATCGGAAAACTTTAAAATTCAGTCAAAAAAGGAAACTTATAATGTTTATGATATAAACAATAAGAACAAACTATATTTTCTTTAAAAAGAAGATGGCCTCGTTACCTTCTAATTTAGATACTTTATTAGAGTGCTACCAATGGGGGGATTCTCTGCAAGCTTTGTCATGAAAGATGTATTTCTTTGTATCAAATTTACTAAATGTATTTCTATTAGTATAAAGTTGTAAATTTCATGAACAATAACAAACAAAATTTAAATAACTAGAAATAATAAAAAAGAAGTATAAATATATTATAGAATATTGTAGAGCAAGGGGATGAAAAGGGATAAAATTCTCATAAAATGTTAAGGTTTTTATTTTCCCCTCTGGAAAAACTCGAGAACGCAATTAAAAACTAAACAAGAACGGAAAGTCGGGGTCTTCAACCTTTGCTTGAATTTCTGCCTAAGAAAAGTTTAATATCCAACGTCTCAGCCTTACAAGAATTAAATTTGTAACTTTTTTTTCTGGCGTTAATTTAATTCTATTCATTATTCATGGATCACATGTTCCAATTTCATATTAATAGTAATTTATTTATTTTTTTTTTATCGTCAGTTTATTACAAAAAGTCAGTGTATCGTGCAATTTAATTCATTTTTGACAATTGATTTCAATAATAATTTAAAAAGGGTATTTATAGAAAAACTTATTATATTTTTATGAATTCAGGCGTGGATCTGGCAGTGCTAAGATTAATATAGGAATCTGTAAGATTGAACGCATCATCGATTTATTGCACAAAGTCATTAAGTAATATTTCATAACTTCAAGTAATTAAGAACTTTAATGAATTTTCCGTTTGTGAAATCAGATTGTTGGTCACTTAGTGTACCTGTATATGATAAATTTAAGGGTGTGTGCTATTTTCATGCAATTACCGCGCTTTTCTATAGATGAATAAGATCAAAACAAAAAAATATTTGAAATTTAACCTGTATCCAAAATGCTCTTTGTGCCTTTTTACAATAAGCTGAAGATATGCTATATTTGGATTCACATGATTGCAAATTATTATATCTATAATGTATTTAAACGAAGGACTGCACTTCAGTAAATACGGAGAAAATTTCAAGCCAATGAAAGAGTAGCATCGGAACTCCATAACACGAAAGAAGAAATATCATATGAAATTGGCAACATGAACAAGATGCTATAAGATAAAAATGATCATTTTATTTATACATCTCTAACACGTACCTAGTTCAATTTTCCTGAAAGGTTTTCCGAAAAAAAAAAAAAAAAGAGTTGGCGGTATGAGAGGGTCTGTAAAAACTCCTACAGGCGTTATTCACGCTCTAATAAGCCAAACCCTCCGTGTTCCACTGAAATTTCCCGGGTACCAGTAATTGGAAAAGGCGACCATCAAGAGGATGGGATTGCCAAGGCTTTCCCACTTCTGTTTATCCTTCGGCTGCAAAGGTCGTCCGACCATCTCTTCGCTGAGAACGCTATTATAAGGAAAGCCTTAACAATTTCGAATTTCGAGGAAAAGATAAAAAGAAAATGAAACCCGATAATATCTTATTCGACACTTGCTAGAAAGGTTTGAAATATATTTGTTCGTCGCAATAGTTGAATGAAATCATCGACATACCTCCGATTTCACTAGCGGATCCTGTATTTCATTTTTTTTGGAGGGGGGAGGACCTTAGTTTTTTTCCCCCTATAGATAACGATAATTGCTATGGAAAAAAAAGAAAGAAATCAACTACCTGTATGTTTTAGTGATTCTTGAAGTTCTGTTAAATGTAATTACACGAACAATAATACTTTGAGAGATATTTATTTAATATTTCTCTCCAAAAAATGTGATTATACTTTACCATTTTATGAGGGGATGGGCTTTAGAGGTCCGAAAGCCCTCTTCCCCCGAAGTTCCGCCAGTGCCCGATTTTATTGCAAAAAGTACATTTTTGATAAGGCTTAACTTTACAATACCTTATGTATCGAAGTAAAAATACATCAAGGGCATCAAAATGATACCAACTATTTTATTTATCAAAAATAGTTGTATTAAGTGAGACGCTTATTTCCAAAGTGAATCCTAATCGATTATTTTGGAAATCGAGATAAACAAGGATTTCCTGTGTAAAAAGACCCAATAAATCCGATAGAGTATTTTTTTTTAGAATCGATCCTGAATACTAAAAGTAATAATCTAAAATTGATTTCTTTCCAAAACTTTTTTTTAAAAATATTCATCATTAAGGAACGTACTGATATTTGCAATTATAAAGCATAAAAATAAAACAAAACAAAAATTTCATGAATAAATATTTGTATTCAAATGAAGTTAAAATCATATTTATTGTATTTTACCATGATTGTAAACAAAAAGTTAATTTATTAAAGTACAATTTTAATTACACTTTCTCCAAGAATCATACACCATTTTTTTTGTTCTAAAACGCGGCTTGAGGCTTACTTCTTTTAATAAAGCAGTCCTCATTAAGTTTCAATGATTTTAAAATATTATTAAAATTAACTATGATTATTTGAAATAAATGCCGTAAACAGAAATTTCCTTATTCTTTTTTTTTTATTTTAATATTACCTTTGGTATCACAATTGGAATGGAAAATATAGTTTTCAGCTTTTCCTAAAAAATTGTGAATGATGATATTAGGTTTCACTTTAAAATCAAACGACTCAATTGCACAGTATTTTGATTTCACTGACAGTTTTCATCGATGTACTTCAGATTTAGTTTTATGAATGTTATTTAATGACTTTTCTAATTATTTATACTTTTAACCAGAATATTTTGGGAACTTCTAAAACATGTGTAAGTTGATACAGAATTAAGTACTAAACAAGGCATTTATTAATATATTGTCATCAAATCTATTGAATAATGTTTGTATCAAGTAAATTACACTCACATATAAGTAATATATTTTTACATGGCTATACTAAATTTTTTTAGACATTGAATGCAAATACCTCAGTTTTCATAATGAACTTAAAAAATGCATTAAATGTTTTCTTTGGAGCGTAATTTAATGGCAACTAAATATTGGATCTATCGATATTTAGCGTATCGAAAATATTTTATAATATAAATATATAATAAAAAATTGTATTCCTTAAAGAATGTAATTATCTCTAAAACCAATCTTCTTTCTAACAAAAAAAAGTGAATCTCTTTCACTTTCCAAACCTTTTAAAAATAATTTAACAGGTGCTTTCCTGTACCTGGGAAGGGATGGTCCACCCCAGATCTCATAGAACATGATGTTTTAAAAATTATGTGGTAACATTATTAAAAAAAACATGTAAAATATTTTTTATAAGTAAACTAGAATATTAATTGTGTTATTAGTGGTATTTTTTTAAATTGTTACTTAATTAATCATATTAATAAGTAGTGATAAAATAATGACAATTAAACAAATAGCCAAAGTACAGAACATGGAAGAATATATATTTTTTAAATTTGTTTTCGGGAATACTTCATATTTTAGGAACTTTAAAAAATAAATTCGTCCCTGTAAACGCAAGGGATAATTTTTCTATTATATATATTTTTATATCGAATGAGAACATCACAGAATGACGCGAAAATGTAATTAAATATAAATTGATCAAACCTTTATATGTATGGATGGAACATAATCGGAATTACTTTATACATACTTATCAGATACGGTTATTAAATTTAAAATTTAAATACACAGTCCCTTACTCAAGGGCAACAGAATCGATAAGGATATGATATGTTGTTATAATGAAAATTTTACTGTTATATAAATTTGTTTTTTACATTTAGATGGCGATTTGGAAATTAGCGGAGTGGCAGAGGAGGTAGGATGAGAGACTTATAAGATGGTTGATGACGTATCTGTCTGCCCGGGCACCGGCGCCTGTATCAGGAGGTCGCAAACAACTGAGCCATTCCAAACAGACCAATAACTAACTTTTCGCGCTCAAGGATCACTCTTGTAAATCACATTTTATTCCCGGACCACTCGAGAACCTCAGCATGCACTACTGCTACCATTTACGCGCAATTAGCCACTCTATGCCCACTGATAAGAGGACTGATAAGGATAAATTCGAGACTATCAAATACAATTCAATAAAAGGCATGTATTACCTGTTTGAGCATGTTGTTTTCGAGGTGCTGCTGCTTGAAGAGATCAAGTAATTTCTCCCTGACTTCGATCTCCGGCTGGTCCTGGCACAGGAGAAGGTACGCCCGCCAGTTGGCAGAGTCGAACCCCCAATGACAGGTTCTGTTCTCGGGGGGCCGGTGCGAGTGGCAGACGAAATGGCGAGGCGACATCAGACCCCGGCACTCAAGACACTCGATGCACCTCGCGTCGCTGTCCGCGTATATTTCGGGCATACACAGTCCCTTACACTTGCCGAAGCACTCATGATACACTTTGAACGAAAGGGTCACCTTCGGAAGTCGATGCGTCATCAGAGGTCGGTGCAGCAGCGTGCTGCATAACCGTTCGGCGTCAGTCTTTGTGATGAGGCCGCAACTGGGGGCGGTCTTGGGCAGGATTCCCGTCTCCTTCAGTTCATCAAGCTGTTCCGGGTTACAACGAGAACAGAAGATCTGGAGGTCGTCACAAACCTGGTTGATTTGGTGGAGGGTGAAGTCCCGCAGGATACTGTTGAGTATCTGGGGGAGGCAGAGTCGCTTCTCGCCGCCGACGAGGAAGCAGGTTATACTCTCACCTTCGAGGAGGGTTTCGCAGCGCTCGCTGGGACTCCTGTCGGGGGCCGTGAGGATGGGCACAGCCTGGACGGGAGCCGGGGGCGGTGTGGCGGCCGCTTCGATCTTTCCCACCTCCTGGAGGACGGTGCTCGGCCCTTGCAGCGACTTGGGGGCACTCAGCTGGTAGGTCTTGAGCACTCTCTTGAGGTGGGGGTTGTAGACTTGTCCCATGAGGGTCTCCATCGATCAGATCATGGTGACGGTCAGGCACTCACTGGCAGCTCCGGCCCGCGGCTCCCCCTCCACTCGCTCCCCACCGCTCCCCCCACCTCTCCTCCTCCCTCCCGTCAATTAGGCCACAATTACCTATCGTCATTTCTACTTAATCAAACACACGGTCGTCTCACATTTCTCATCACATCTAAATCCATCAATTATACCATCCTCACTTATTGACATTTTTATATTTTATTGATTTGATAATACTAGGGAATATTGTCCATTTTGATCCTTCTCAATATTCTGATGAAATTCACAAATTTCTTAAATTATATTTAATACATAGCAACTTATTAAAAACAGTCGCAACAATATTTTTTAAAAATATAGTTACTATATTTTAAATACAAAAATAACAGGATCAATCCATAATGTTTCTAGTATATTTTATTGATCAGAGCATTGTTATTCAGTATTATTTTACGATTTATTATTATTTAAAGTTATTAATCTAATATATCTGTTTCGAACCATTAATATTGAGACAATACATAATTAATATCCTTAAAGTTTTATAGTTTAATACATTTAAGTAGGTTTAAAAATCTAATTCATTATTTGTGACCTAGATGCCTTCCTTCTTTATAATTTTTTTTATTATTATTTTTTATTAATACATTTTATATTTAAAATAAAATTTAAAAGCTACAAAAATCTTTGAATTAAACTACTTTAGGGAAATTCTCTTTAGGGAACTGTAAGTATTGAATTTTTATTTAATTAAATAATAAAAAAAAAATATTTATGAACTTCCCATAGATTCCTATTCCTATAGATTCCTTGATAAAACATTTCCATTAAATATTATTCAACCGGAAACTTTATATTTTATCCTCTAGTCGAGTGTTACTTGAAAGTTCCTATCAATTACTTATTTAATCCTTACTATAATATGTAAATACTATAATGTAAATACTGTAAATGCACCAATCAGACTGAAAATTAGGAAATTATTTGGACAGAAAAAGAGGAAACAGAGAGAGAAATGACAATGATTTAAAAATGGTAGCTCCTAGGCAGTTCGGCGAAGTTCCCCAAAAAAATAATAAATGACAACATTAATTGTTCGCTTGGTAACAACAAACACGAAAATTATTTGATAATAATTTTTGCCATTGATTATTGGTTGATTAAATAAAGATTTTTAGGTAACCTGGATAAAAGACCGTAATTTCATTCGTTTTTGTCTAATGTAAATTATCCAAGTTAGTCTTTTGTCGAGATAGAAACACAAATATCTAATTACATCTGAGGCTGGGATCTCAATGTTATTAAATTATATTTCTAAGGAAGGTTTATGAATAAGAGTCAATACTACATGCACACGAATTCATTAATCAAATAAAAAACGTTGTTCATTGCAAAGCAATTTGAAGATCGAAAATTTCGTTTGATATTCAAATTTTGTGTTTGGTTAATAAGTAAATAAATAAATAAGATTTTAATTTTCATCATTATTTCACACTTAATAGTTTTCGGTCAGGAGCAATGTTCACAACAAAAAAAAAAAAAAAAAAAGGCAAAATTAAAGTGAATTAAAATAAAAATTTCGCTGTTTTCGGAAAGTTGCTTAATTTTATCAGCTTCCCAACAGTGTTTCTATACTTTTAAACGAAGATACGGATTATGGGATTATAAATACGGACAAGACAAAATATATCGTTAGCTTTAATATACATATGGTGATATACATATAGAATGAAATACGCTTGAACAAGTAGAGAACTTTAGGTATTTAAAGTCTACTAATACTAAAAATAACTAAATGAGAGAGAAAATTAACTTGACCATGGGATGCTTGTTACTTTTCAGTTGCAAAACTACTAGGGTCGCGCATCCTGTCTCGAAACTTAAAAATTTAGAATTTACAAAGCCCTTATCCAACCCATTTCTCTTTATGGATGCTAAAATTAAGGAATCAGCAATATCTTGAGATTCTTGAAAATGAGTATTGCTTAAGATATTTGGACCGAATTAGGATGAGTAAATCGAAGAATTTAGACTAGCACAACGACGGATTATGTGAACTGTAACCGGTTAATATAATTAAGGTGATTAAAATGGACATTTAAAATTTTGGAGCTTAGTAACGAAAGAATCTCCAAAAAGTTAATATGCGCTATGCAGGCTGGTAAGCGTCCAAGGATAGACTGAAGCGAAGGTGGGAAGATTGCATCAAGGCTGATCTGGTGGGATTGGTATTGTACAGCGACAGGTGGAGAGAAGGATGCAGACAGCGATTGGTGCATCGATCATTCGGGTTCGCTTATTATTTCATTATCATTCCTACGGTACAAGCAACTGTTCGAAGTAAGTCTATTTTGAAGATGTATTAAGGTCAAAAAACCTTATATACTTACACCAAATTAAGTACTTAAATTTTCAGTTTGATTTTGAGAAATTTTAATTTATATAGAAAGAATAAAATGAATTTATAGGGAGACCAAAAAGTCTATATATATAGAAAGAGAGAGAGAGAGGAGGGGAGGGAGAGAGTCAGACAGAGAGAGAGCGAGAGAGAGAGAGAGAGTCAGGGGGAGGAACTGCTAAATTTTCGTCGACCGAACCCCATCAAAACCTGTACTGATATCATCAGACCCATCTTTATCTTCTCATCTACGTCACGGCCTAGCTCTCGTGGCCCCCCTATCAGTTCAGCGCTGATTACCTTTTTAGCGATTGGTTTATTATCCATCTAATAAAAATTATAATATTTAACGAATCATATCATGGAGCTTATTATTATATGTTCATTGCTACTTTTATAGTTGTTATCGTAAATATTGGTGAAAGGTTGTCGATTGATCTCCACAAAGCCTAAGTTAGTAAAGACAACCAATGAAGGCTCTACAAATGACAGCCGATCTCTTCCTCAACTCATCATCATCGATTGTTGAATTGGTCAATGCAACGTTGAACGATGATAACAAACTGCACTTTTTATATTTAGGTTATTTTTCAACCTTCATATAATCAACATACTGAAAAAGATAGATCCAAATGTACTAGTACGACCCATGAAGGATGTCTTCTACATTGCGTCTTCTATATTGCGTCTTCTATATCGTGGAAGTCTTCTATATTGCGATTGGATGTATCGTTTCTTCACCAACAATTATACAAAGGGGCGTGGCTAGAAGAGAGAGGGGACAAACATTTAAGAGGGCAGTGATTTTTTCCTGTTTAAAGGGGGTAGCCGTCCCACTTTACCTCCCTCTGTATACTCACATGATTATATACCCTTACCGGAGAACCACTTGCCAATCGTTTGTCCAACATTGTTGGCCACTTGTGTGGGTGGGATATTTGGAAATGTTTATTAGTGAAAGTTCCGATCCTCGTTTTATCAGTTCCTTCTTTCAGACAACAAATGGATATTTGCCATACACATGTGTGACCAATTGTCCAACGGGTTCCCTGTCTTTATCTAAATAATGAATTTTAAAAATGTGTTATGTACATTCCATACTTCCAGTCCGTGGTACAGACCTCTTTTTATGAAATTATTAACATCAGACTAGAACTTCGTGATTTGCTACATCTCATCATAAATTACAACTTTTTTATTTACGAAAATTCTTGGAATTGGGGCGTTTTCTCATTAAATTAATTATTTTAAAGAGGTAACAAAACCCTATGAATATCCATATGCTTTCTACTAGAACCGTAAGATAATTTGTTACAAATCAAGAAAAAAGGTGGCCTAGAAAAATATTGGACCGGTTGGCCTACATGACCTCGTTATTTTGTTGCCTACAAGTTTTTTTTGTGTCCATTTTGTGATGAAATTAAATTATCATATAATTCAAGTGGAAAGCATTTGTTTGTTTGTGAGTTTTTATAGCACCTTATTAAATAAATAAAATTTAGCAATCTTTAGATTAAAAATGCCATTTACGAAATTTTTCGTAAATTAAAAATTTGTAGCTTATAATAAGATGAAACCATTCCTGAAGATTTAGACGGATGTTAGTTATTCTATAAAAAGGGATCTGCATTCAAATTGGCCATTTTTTCGGGAAGAAGAAATTACACTTAAAAAAAAACATATAACTAATTACGAAATTAATTATTTATATCTTTCTGTTAGTATTGTATCAAATTTAATGTTTCAGACATCGTAAGCCAATGATTCCCTGTTCTTCAGTATCCTTTAACAACACCTCGCTTATTCCTGTTGAACAAATCATTTACCTAAAACTACACCTTGACAAACTTGGAATCCTCATACCAAACTGAAACGACAAGTAACTGCTCGACCTTTCAGACTACTTCACCACTTGCTAAACAAACGCTCTAACCTTCCAATTAGTTACAAAAGACTCATATACATAACTATAATAAGGCCTATTTGGACTTAAGGAGTTGAGCTAGGGGGCTCCACCAAACCTTCAAATTCTTCTCGTATCCAATCCTTACAATCCAAAATCCTTCGTAAAATCCTCAATGCTCCTTACTTTGTTGCAAAATAAAATCATCCCCAATGACCTTAATGTTCCTTATGTATCAGATTTGGCCCAATCCAGATATATATCCTTCCATAATAAACTTCATAAACATTCCAACCCTCTTGTTTCTAACCTTTGCTTCCTATTCAATTCTTGATAACCCTCCAAGCCGTCTGAAAAGAAGATGGCCCCGTGATCTCCTAATGTAGACATATTATGTAGACATATTACTACCAGCGGGTAGTTTCTCAACATCTGTTTTATGTCATTATATCCATATACAAATTTACTAGATGTATTTTTTTTTATACAGTTGTAAATAGTTTGAATTAATTTTGTTTATTACAGATCGATAAGACCTAAAATTCGTGTGCTAAAATGTAAAATATTCTATCAAGTTGTGGAATAATAAAAAAGAATATATCTTTTTTCTATTTTACCCAATGAGATTTTTTTTTTTTACGATGCGTATTCCGGGAGCATTGCCGAGATTGGGAAGATAAAAAAGACGTCACCCGTGTAGTTGATCAATACGGCCGT